AAAAAAAAAAAAAAAAAAAAAAAAAAAAAAAAAAAAATTTTTTTATTTTTTTTTTTTTTTTTTTTTTTTGCAGATTCATGAAAAGACCAGCTAGTCCTTTGCAAGAATGTTTTTATGTACTTAATACATGTATTTTTGTAATCAAAATCTGTACCTAGAATGGCAGTGTTTATGCACATATAATAGCCTCAGTGCTCTGACCACACAAAAGTGCTGAACGTAAGGCAGAAAAAGGAAGGATTGCAATAGACATTCCTCCTTTACCTCCAAACCTAGTTACAGCACTGGTAGCAATAGCAGAAGAATTATGTTTATATTTTTAGGAAGGGCCTCTCAGATGAAAATGCTTTTAGTACACAGTATGTCATTATGACACATTTTAAGTGATTATATTTGAAGTATGGCTTTCCACCACAATTTTGCTTGTGATTTTTTAAGATTTTAGGTCTCAAAGTTTCCACAGTCCAGTTCAAGGTTTTGCAGTTTCCAGAACTAAACTTTAGTCTATGTAGAAAAGTAAAGAACAGAACTTTATCTGCCTAATCCTAAAAATAAGTTTAGCTTTCTGTACTAGTATACCGTGTAGTATTAAATACATTTGTTAATTAGGTGCTTGCGAAGCTATAACTTATGACATTATTATAGTTTTGCACTCTACAACAAAATTAGACATTTTAAGCATTTATTTGTAGGTCGGTAAGGAATTGGTTCTTTAACCAAAAATTGCTATAAATTTATAAATACAAATAGTGCTTATGGTTTCTTCATTCATGCTTGAACAGATTACAAACTGAATACAATGAAGTTACGTTTAAGCACCCCACATAAACAAGAGGGATAAAAGAAAGATTTTGCTGGTATATACTATACTTAATTCGGAGACACTATAAGTTACTTTTTCACTGTTCAAAGTTCCCTAACTCTGCATTAGTTTTAAGGCTATATATACAAATATGTATATTTCCAAGTTAGGGAAAAGACAAATATAGCAAAACGCATTGTACTACATTTTCCTATCAAAAAGTAATTTTACACCAAGTTTTGATTTTTTGTTTAGTTGTGGTAAGTGTTACAAGCTACTTATATTTTACTGATTTTCCTTTTGGGGACTCTGCCTACTGAATGATTAAAGTAAACTACTATATTAATAACAAACACAATATCCTCAACCTAAGAAGACAAGAATACAAGGTGCACAAAACAGTAGTTTTGCAAACACGACTGATTTGAAAACTTACTTTTTGTATGTTCAATGGGAGAAAGTTAAGCTTAAGTCAATTTAGTTTATGTTTATTACCCTTAAAATTTTTAAATTAGAATTTAATTTTAATGACCAACAGTTACATATTGTCAACATGCTATATTTCAAATCACAAATACTGTTTAACCACTAGTTTCTCATTCTAAATAAGTGGGTCAATTAAAAACACACATACCATAAAATGTTAAGATTGTCAGGCTTTGACAAATGTATTTTCATTAAACAGTAGGCAAATTCAAACTGATGCTCATCTCAGTGAAAAACAAAAAGCCTGAAATAAATCCATGTAAAATAGAGTAACAGATTAAACCCACTACATCCTCCAGTGTCTTTCTATGCCTTGGGCAACAGTCAAAGTTCTCCCCCATTTTAAAAATGGGCTACCAATTATTTAAAAATATTTTTCCACATGTGAAATCTCATTTACAATGGCACAGAATTTCAAAAGGCAGGAAAAAAAGAGGAATTACACATATATGATTAAATTTCTTGTTTTTTAAATCAAGCTTTATTGATAAAATGGAATTCAGAATATTTTACTTGGAACAGCAGCAGACTCAGCCAATCAGGATAGTAAAAATGCTGCAGACTCCTACTGTATGTAGAAAGTTGCTCCCTCTTGCTCAACTGATTAGTAATTTCAGGTAAGGGTTTGTAAAAAAGAGGTGCAAAGAATCAAGGCATTCTAACCTCAAAATTGGTATACTTATGATTGCACTGTATTATACAGCATGATCCTGCTTCCATCGAAGTCACAGCCAAAACTCTTGTTGATTTCAAGTGGCAGCAGGACTGGGACCATAGTAAATAGCAACAGAAAACATAAAAAGATAGGTTTGTTGGAGAACGAGCAGTATGTTAGTTATTTTTCCCACTGCCAAGCAAATTCATACACTACAGTTGGGATAAATTGCCCGAATGTTCTGCTTTATATAAAATAAAAAATAATCTTACAGTTTTGTGCACCTCTTGAGCATCTAGCTGGCTAGGCTGCTGCTCCTTGCAATCCAAAACCACAACATAAATTTAAAGGGCTATATATTTGTTGCATCACACAACAAGCCAAACATTTCTTCTAACCTTTATAGTGATTTAAAGCAGTTCATAATTAAATATGAGCATTTTGTACAAGGACAATTGCACTTTACAAAAACAAAATCATACAACATAAATTGCTGGAGTCTGATTTACAACATGAATTATGGTTTGAAATCACGTTTACAGAAGTCTGTTTTACAAAAAAAACATCAGTTCCTGGGCTAGATGTCGTACTGCTGTAGTTTTCTGGTGTAGTCACTCTCACCAACACATCATAATCCCTTCTTTAAATAAGGTTGAGGATGGACGTTAAGAAGGGTCACTGAGGTTGGGCCGCACTTTCAACTGGAGGATGAATGTAAACTCCACAGCTAGATGGGCAGTTTTACCACATATCATCAGTTGATGCAGAGTCCTTAATAGAGAAAAAAGAAGGAACCCTTTAAAGTCTGGAGTGCCCAAAATTACAGCGGTTTCTGGATAATCCAGACTGAAAAGGGTAAAAATATGGATAATTGTAGGAGTCTTTTTTCCCTTTAATGAAGGGTTTCATACTAGATACTTGTAAAACACTATTCCTAACAACATGCAAAAATGTATATTCATTAAACTATTTTAATTCAGTAAATATTAGCTAGCACTAAAGCAGTTTTTTAACACCTGGTCTCAAGTGTAATATACTTTGTTTTCTAAACGTTTAAAGCTGCTCTAAATAATTGTTAACATCAAAACCAGCACATTCAAAAACATTACCAGTAGAACCTAAAAAAGACAGTATACTAAATATATCTATTTGGACAATTTCTTGCAGGTGTGCTAAGTTCACAGGGAGCATGTTTCCAGTTATTCTTAATTACGTTCTACCTACTCTGACTGCCTTCTCAACTAGGGTAGCCAACTTTCTAATTGCACAAAACTAAACACCCTTGCCCCACCCCTTCCCCGAGACCCCCACCCACACACACCCTCACTCACTTTCACTGGGCTGGGGCAGGGGTGAGGGCTCCGGATGGGGGTGTGGGCTCCGGGGTGGGGCCGGGCCAGAAATGAGGGGGCAGAAGGGGCCTCTGGGCTGGGGCAGGGGGTGGGGGTGCAGGAGAGGTAAGAGCTCCAGCTGGGGGTGTGGGCTCCGGGCTGGGTATGAGGGGCTCAGGGTTAAGAAGAGGGCTCCGGGCTGTGGCCAAGGGGTTTGGAGTGTGGGAGCGGGCTCCGGGCTGGGACAGGAGGTTGGGGTGCCGGCTCTGGGGTGGGACCAGGGATTAGGAGGGGTTTGAAGCGCAGAAGCGGGTACTGGGACGGTGTAGGGGGTTGGGGCGTGGGCTCTGGGAGGGAGTTTGTATGCAGGAGGGGGCTCAGGGATGGGGTTGGGGTTTGGGAGGGGGTGTAGGGCCCAAAGGGTTCTGACCTGGGGCAGGGGTGCAGGTGGGAGTTCAGGCTCCAGCCGGATGGCGCTTACCTCAGGCGGCTCCCAGTCAGTGACACAGCAGGGCTAAGGCAGGCTCCTTGCCTGCCCTGGCTCCACGCAGCTCCTGGAAGCAGCCAGCATGTCTGGCTCCTAGGCAAAGGGGCGGCCAGGATGCTCTGCGCGGTGCCTGTACCTGCAGGCACCACCTCTGCAGCTCCCATTGGCCGGAATTCCCAGCCATTGGGAGCTGTGGAGCCAGCGCTCGGGGCAGGGGCAGCGTGTGGAGATTCCCTGATCTCACCGGCACCTAAGGGCTGCAGGGACATGCTGGTTGCTTCCAGGAACCGCACGGAGCCAGGGCAGGCAGGGAGCCTGCCTTAGCCCCACTGCACTGCCGATTGGACTTTTAACGGCACGGTCAGCAGTGCTGACCGGAGCCACCAGGGTCCCTTTTCGACCGGGTGTTCCGGTCGAAAACCAGACGCCTATTCTCAACCCTCTTGCTGTAAGGAAGGCTTAGAATCCAAGTCACACCATAAGTAATTTATTGAGAGTTAAGATTAAATTTAAAAGAAATTTAAACATGTTAAGATATGGAAAATACACATGGCACCCAAAGCAACCTAAATTCTCCTCTTGTAATGACGAGGGGAAAATATTGCAAAAACTATTGTTAAAAATCAGTTTAATCTGGAACCATAAACCCTAAAATGGCCATATGGTATCACTACAGGGAAGAGTTAAGGTTGCTTGGGTGTCTTAATTGTACATTTCTATATTTTAATATGTTTAGATTTGTTTTAAGTATAACCTTAACTCTGAATTATCTGAATTTGCAATACTTGGTTCTTGGATAATTACAACATCCCTGTAAGACACTTATCTTCAAGTTATTAAACCATCAGCCTTAACTCCATTTTAACATAGTTTTGTGTGTCTTGGAATTTCCTTATAATAAATTATGCTTAAATCAGCTCTCCTCTTTCCCTCCCTCCTCATACTTATTTTTTCATCCTCTTTCCCCTCTGCACAAAGAATTTAACAGAAAAAAAGTTGAATGAGGAATACTGGACTGTCCATCAGTTTTACTGATCAGAAGTTGTCAGCAAGATTGTGTTTACACAGTCAGAGGCATCACTTTAAGAGGAAAGAGGCTGCTGTTTAAAGTATGTCTGAGCAATGCCATCTCTCGCTACTTTAGATCGGTGGAGCTGATGTGCAGCCCCGTACTCCTTATTCAGCTGTTAAGTATAATTTAATAGGATTCTCTCTCTTTGCAGGACCGGAAAGAGAATATTGGTCATGAGAATTAAAATGAATTATTTACTTTTAAAAAATTATGATTTGCAAGAGTAATGTCTAAGCCTTCCTATGGGACTACAAGTAGTAGAAGGCAGAAGCTAGAAAGGACTAGGATAGGCAGGGTGAAAATCTGAGGTGGCCATGTTTGTCAGAGCACATGGATAAAAAATTAAGTCAGCATCAAGTCAAAGTGCAGAAATTTACTTACTGACTACATACTATGCAAATTCCTGTATTCTGACTACCAATGACACTTAGATTTGAGTACTATACATTTGCAGAAGAGTTATACAATGAATGACTGCATATCATCCCTATGCAGAGATAATTCCATTTTACTTATGGGTCAATTTCTTAGAAATGGGAGGAGACAAGAACAGAAGAGGCTCGTTGTAAACTGTAGCAAATAAAGCTTAAGACCAACTGTGCAGCTTCTGTTACGCCAAAGCATTTGCAAACTGCATTTTACTTATATAATTTTTTGTTAATTAAAAAAATCATATTACCGGTATTAGATGCCAGAGACATTAAAAAGTAACTGCTTTCTTTCTGAGACACAGTACTCCCAAGAATTTAAAGATGTTTCCACAAAGTGGTTCAGTTTTAAATGGAGTTACTGTTCCCATTTTATAATTGTTTTTATTGAATTTTCACTGTGAAAAATATATTAGGGAAGTTACAGCATAATATAATCCAATGATCAGAAAATTATGTTAACTGAACTAGAATCATAAATATGCTAATCATAGCAGCTATTAAACTACTAAGTATCCAGCAGAAAGTTACAATAAGAACACTTTTGCCTGTAATTCAGGGAATTAAAATTTCACAAAATGGTATCTTAATGAAAAATATTTTAACCCAGATTTCCCACTATCTCTGTGGTATCAGGGATGAACCAAATAAAATTAGATATCTCAAAACAAGACAATATCTGCTACTAGTGGTGGGATCTGGCACCAGATGTGGGGAAATGAGGAGACAGAATACAATCAGACTTTCAAGTCTTGAACTGATAGAGGGTAAGAACAAATGAGAGTTCTGAAGGTTCAGATGAGGGAAAGGGGGGAGGGGAGGAAGAGAACTCACAGGGCACAGTCTACAGAATGCACTTTTGGAAAAAATCCCTCCCCCTTCAAAGAGCTGTAGTAGGGTCTGCACAAACAGGTTGAAAGATTTCAAAGGGTAGGACGGAAATGATGGGAGAGTGAAAGTACTTACGGCATCATCATTTCTATAGGGGTTCAGTCTGTTATAAACAGCTTCAATCACACTCCGTCTAAACCAAAGCAGAAAACAAAATATTAAGGATTTTTTAAAATGAAGTCAGACATTTCCTAAATGCAGTCATGACGTACTAAAATGCAAAACCTTAAAAATGGTAAAAAGATTCAAAATGTATAGAACTTCAGTTTTTTGCAAATAAAGCTGCCATGTTTCCATATAATTTATGCAGTGCTCTCTTTTGGATTCAGGAAGAGATAGTTTAAAAAGGTTAACACTCCTAAGGATTTTGCCAACAAAATGGAAAATTACATAGTCTAATTGAAAAGTCTCATATGCAAATGTCTGCTCCTGATATACTGACAGGGGCATGCCCACATTTTGTCTCTGAAGTAATAAGACAAGGAGGTTACACAGTGATGAGCAGTATAAACAATATGCATTTGTGTGCTTGCAGGATATGGTGGCAGTAAATAACACACCATTGATGTACAAAGATAATATTTTTCACAAGAGAGCACTGTATTTGTGTTTTCTGAATACAATTTTTAGTGTGCCCCTTAATGAAAGCTCTGCATTCTGGGTTTGGTTTAAGTTAGTTTCCATTATAAATCTTGTTAGGTTATTTCTTTTTTTTTTTTTTTTTTAATAGAGCAGTAGCAGCTTCCCATTACATGCCCGATTTTCAACTCCCTTTTATAATTATCCTCCAAAAGAAACCAATCTCAACTTAAAACAGAAATTTTGTATAGTATATCTCACCCTGCAACAGAGATATATTCCAGGGGAATTTAGTAAAAATCAGCACGAGTTTATAGTGTGTTGAAAATTTACCTTTTATTCATGTCTGAACTTTTAATTTTTATAATCTCGCACAAAACAGCTTGGCTTTGGTACTCCTCCCCTCCCCTTTTTTGTGCCTTGCTGGTTGCACTTTGGGGGTGGATGAGGAGTAGAGGATTAATTACAAAGATATATAATAAAACATAAAAATAGCTTGTGATCCCTGCTTACCCAACTGTAGGGGAAGAGATTAACAAGGGGTTCGTTAGAGCAACAATACTAAAAAACAGTGGAATGCTAAGGGAAAGAGGAAGATATAACTGAGAAAATGAAGGTCTAGTACAATTAAGAGATTTTAAAGACTTTTCTCCTGGATGATAGGGGTTTTTTGGGGGGAAGGGGGTGAGTGGCGGATGGGGAACAAAGCTGAAGAATGCCTCGTTTCTTATTCTATATAATAGGGTCAGGTGGAGAAGTGCTCTGCACACATGTTCATGCCTTAAAGTGGCAGAATGTCATCCTCCCCCTTGTCTTTCTGTTAGTCATGATTGCAGACTGGGCTACACTCATAATGAGCTGTTTTAATTTCCCCCCCCAATACTTATAAATATAAACTGACCTATTACTGACTCCAGGCATATGTTCAGGGATAGTGTAGGAAATACAGGAAAATGTAAAGGGGTCAGTATCCTAGAGGGGCCATGTTGGTAGCATGCTAGCAAGGGTGTGGGCTGGGCTGGTGTATCTAGTTTTGGAATGAGGGACTTTGGGTGAGGAATAAGCAGGGAGATTCCATGATAGGCAGAGAACAGCAAAAGAGACAAGGGAATGAGGAAGATCCTAATCAGCACAACCACTTCCAAGAATCACCTAGTAACTTGTGGGCAGCATAAACACGGTAGGGATTGATTATTTGGCCATGAGTAACGATCTGGATCTAACCTGCTCATTTCCAGATATCCTACTGTCTAGAGTTCCAAAAGGTGGACAATTTTTGAAGAGAAAGTAATACTGTTTGAGGGTATTGCTGGACTCCACTGAAAAAATTTCAGCCTTAGCTTTTTAAACCAAACTTTTTGCTTCCAATTTTAATTATTAACTTCAGCATGATAAAAACATCCCAATAATAATGCTCTCTCTGTGAAAAGATTCTCAGAGAGAAAGCAGCTAGCTATGCAATCATGTCAGAAACCTGAAATTTAATCAGTAAAATATTCTAAATTACTCACATTCTAAAAAAGCGTTTTATAATTAAAATAATTAAGAAAATTATTTCCTTTAACACAATATGACAGTACAACAAACCAAACACCACCAAGGACTTTTTCAGAACCCCATCATTTTGACATCTAGTAAATTTTTATAAAAAAAGTTTTAGAAGTAGTTTCAGGTACTACCACTGTCCTTGATTTCCCTTGAAAAATGTGTGGGTTTACCATAACATTTTTTTTTTTAAAGTGTCTTTTCCTTCCCCTACCCCCTTGCTGTCCCAGATAAACAAGGAAAACAGCAAAGCTGACTATCAAAAAGTGATATTCCATGCACAAACTGAAAAACAGACTCCTCTCTAATCTTTCAGACATAATTATCTCGTGTTACAAGTAGACAATTGTCAGATAAATGTGATTTTCAAATTGACAGCATCCCTTTGAGTTACATTAAGGCCCAGTTCAGTAACTTAATTAAGCACACATTTAAAAGTTAAAGGTTTCAGAGGGGTAGCTGTGTTAGTCTGTATCAGCAAAAACAACGAGAAGTCCTTCTGGCCCCTTAGAGACTAACAAATTTATTTGGGCATAAGCTTTTGTGGGCTATAACCCACTTCATCAGATGCATGGAGTGAAAAATACAGTAGGCAGGTAAAAATATACAGCACATGAAACGATGGGAGTTGCTTTACCAAGTGGGGGGGTTAGTGCTAACAAGGCCAATTCAATCAGTGTGGATGTGGCCCATTCCCAACAGTTGACAAGAAAGAGTGAGTATCAACAGAGGGAAAATTACTTTTATAGTGACCCAGCCATGCCCAATCTTTATTCAGGCCTAATTTGGTGTCAAGTTTGCAAATTAATTCCAGCTCTGCAGTTTCTCGTTGAAGTCTGTTTTTCTGTTGAAGAATGGCCACTTTTAAGTCTGTTATTGAGTGTCCAGGGAGACTGAAGTGCTCTCCTACTGGTTTTTGAATGTTACAATTCTTGATGTCTGATTTGTGTCCATTTATTCTTTTGCGTAATTACTGTCCGGTTTGGCCAATGTACATGGCAGAGGGGCATTGTTGGCACATGACTGCATATATCACATTGGTAGATATGCAGGTGAATGAGCCCCTGATGGTGTGGCTGATGTGGTTAGGTCCTATGATGGGTGTCCCTTGAATAGATATGTGGACAGAGTTGGCAACAGAGTTTGTTGTAGGGATTGGTTCCTGGGTCAGACATCAAGAATTGATGGTAAGGCAACTCCCATCTTTTCATGTGCTGTATATTTATACCTGCCTACTGTATTTTTCACTCCATGCGTTTGATGAAGTGGGTTATAGCCCACGAAAGTTTATGCCTAAATAAATTTCTTAGTCTCTAAGGTGCCACAAGGACTCCTCGTTGTTTTTATTCTTTAAGTGCTGTCCCTGAACAGGGAATGGTTTCTTGAATCTGGGCCTAAGCTGCTATTGCATTTGTTCACTAACTAGTTAAAAGCCTGCATCTCAGAGTAAACAAATCAGTGTATTCTCAGTTACACAGTCGATTTCGGGTATTGCAGATATTTCTTTAAAACAAAACCAATGAGCCATAACAATTGGTTTGCAAAATTATCACACACAAACACGCACAAGAGAATCCTGAAGTTAGAAACACCAACATGGGATGGGAGTAAAATAAGTCAATTTTTAATCTCAACACTTAAAATTAGTTGCAGTCTAGGTTATTTAAATCAACCAGGTAGTGCAATTGGGCAACATATACTGTGTCCTATAAACAGATTAATAACAAACAGAACAGATCTAACATCTCAGGATGATGTAGCTCTGCTGCAACACAGGTAACAGTCTCCCATGAAAAGGTGTCTTTTCACCACTGTCACTAGCACCATAAAAATACTCTTAAGTCAGGTGCAGCAGGAGAGATTTACTCACAAGCCCAATAGAAGAAAAAAGACAGAGCTAGAAAGAGGAGTCAAAAGAACGATACACATTCCAATTGAATGTGGCAATATTTAGATTTGCCAAATGTGTTCACAATAACTCAGACTCAATGATGCGTCAAAGAAAATTAAATATATTCTAAAAATAGATACCGCTCTGACATCTCCTACTGGCTGCTCAGTTGTTTTTTTAAACACTGAAACATTAGCATGAAAACAAGGTTTTTGTTTCTTTAGAAGTTCATTTGCTCTGGAGTCTCACTGTTTATTGCTCACTGGAAGTCATAACTCTGACATCACAGATAGTTTATCACAAAGACAGCTAAAGGAGAGCTATCATGCTGAAGCAAACACCACACTACGAAAATGATAACATTTGAAATAGATCATTTATAATGTATTCATATAAATACATTTTAAATAGAAAAATATTGGTTCGTGAGCAATCTATACTAAAATTGCTTGATTTACTGGACAGAGGAGCTTGAGATTTGAATTCTTTGATGGTTTAATGCTAATGTATAAAACTAGTAACTCTGTTACAGACTATTTCTTTAAGACAACAATCAAAATGAATGTGTATAAAGTTTTAAATTCAATCCCCTGCTTAGCCAGGGTGAGGCAGTAATTTCCTTTAAAGGGATAATTAGCTAAACAGCTTATTTATAATTCTAAAAAAAAAAAAAAAAGAGGTATACATTTAACAAAAAAGCAAAAGCAAAGAAAGCTGCCAAGTGAAGCATTACATGCACCGAGTAATCGCTGTTTGTTAACTAAGTACATAACCTACTTTTCAAAATGAGCCATTATATGCATTACATTTCCCTTACATCTTAAAAAGTAAAAGCAGTAAACATTTTAAAGCTACAATTAACAGAGGAGGCCACCCTTAAAAGCAGTCCATTCTTTCTACAACTATAGTTTGACATTCACATATTTTTAAATTTAGAAACTATCATCCACAGTCAACCACGGTCTTGTGCATGGATTTTTTTCCAAACTTAAAACAGATCAAAATGTGAACGAGATTAGTTGAGAATAGATGATGCCCTTTTGTTCCCCATAAACCTTATTTCAATTTATTTATTTTTAAGAGTGGCCTTACAAAAAGTCTCTGTTAATTTAGACCAAAAGCACATTTACACTAACGTAGACTCACTTGCTTGCCAATTCACCCCCTGGCGGGAGGTTTGGGATGCTCTCAGTTGCTAACGTACGCATCACGTGGACTAAGTCTGGTACTCCTTCACCCTGCTTCTTTATGATCTCTGGGAATCAGAAGTACTTTTTTTGTAAGTGCAGTCCAAATTTAACTTGAAAAGATTGAAACACTCAGTTTTATCAAAAAGCAGTTTAACATTTTAAAAGACAGCATTTACCATGTTGGACACTGTCTGTAATCTTTGGTGCCATAACAAAAAAGCCAGTGTACCTGTAAAAAGCTATTGGATATTTGACAAAAAAAAAAATACCAACTACGATCTGTTTTTCACATAGTTCTATACTTCCAAAACTGTAATCATTTTGATTAGTATATTACATAACAAAGGGTATCTTAACAGGTAAACAAACTAGGTAGTTCTAAATAGGCTTCACTAGAACATAATTATTGTATTTTGCCAATGAAACATCCTGTGAAAAAGCCGGGTTTTAATGTCAATTTTTTTATATGAATGAATGTTAAAAGGTTATTGCCATGGTAGAAAATATAATATTTTGAAGAAACAAGAAGTTAGGTGTTGTTTATAATATGCTTTATATAGTTATACCAGATTGCAAATTAACATAAAAACATAAAAAGTCATTATGCATAAACTGACAAGAGCCAAGAATGTCAGAGTTAAGATACAACTCCGTCCTTAACTCACCAAAGGAATATTTCAACAGCAGGTGATTTTACATACAACAAACCCAATCCTCTTCATCATGTAAGCAAAAGAATCTCTACAGTAGCCACAGCAAAGTGTGCTAAGAATAAAGTTGCAGATAGCTAAATTTCTTAAGCCTCATCTTCTGAGGTGTTGAACACTCACATATGCAGCTGAATTTACTTTAGTTATCACCTTTCAGGGGGCGGGGGGAGGAAGGGAGGAGGAGGAAATCAGACTTCTTCCAGTTTTGTGAAATCCTTTAAAAAATTTTTTACAAGGTAAATGAGAATTGTCTACTATCCCATGACATTTAAATGTATATAAATTTCTCAATACACTAGAAATTCCTTCAAAAGACATTATTTAAGAAGGATATTTTATTAAATAATCAGCTTGGAGTTGTTGATCTCCAAGTGGATGTCATGGCATGTGTACAATAATGCGCATGCACAGTTAAATATTCTTTACGTAGTAAAATCTTTCCAAAATTTATTTGAAAAAAGTCATTTGAACACATGGAGAGCCCACTTCCAATTTAAATATTTTGACAATTTATCTTTTTATCCCAAATACTGAAAAAAAATAATCAAGATGTACGAAATACCATTTTAAACTCATATTGGTGAGTTAACGGCAGACTAAAGTGTCTAAAACCAGTATACTTTCCTTTTAAATAAAAAAAAATAGTAAAAATTCATGAACTGATTTGTGTGCACGGAACGGGGTTTTCTGGGCTGCAACCTTCTATGCAAAAAGTTTTAGCCCAATTTGCAGCCAGATTCTATGCAAGTAATTGACACTGGAAACACTGGCATGCCCTTACTTGCAGTAGAATAACCAAATGTCAAAATTTGCAGTACAAAGTATTAGCTGTTTAGTTCTACATTTTAAGTAGGAAAGAAATCCAACATGTGACATTACACATTAGGCAAACATCTCAAAACTCAAATGTGCCACTTTCTCAAGAACTATGGCCAAACTTCATATTTTACCATCTAGCATTTAGTAAAAAGAATTCTAACACTCTTAAATCTGAATAAAAAGCAAAGATCTCAGATTTGGTTCGCCAAGTTCCTTTATTGTGTAATCTTCAACATCTAGTATATTCTACATCATTCTAAAGCTAAAGTTCTGCTGTACAAAAATAAAGGGATTTATAGTTTTCCTAAACTACACAGTTTCACAACCTAAAGCTGCAGTACATTTAACATACAGTCACCACTAAATGAATACATTTATACTTGGAGAGAACTATAGATACAGTCTGAAATAACACTGATGACAACAGATGGAACCAATCCATTGCTTTTTTTTTTTTAAATAATTATTAAATTAACTTTTGTTTCAATGCATCTTGCATCCCTTTCTCTTTAACCTACTTTAAACCTTCTAAATGTTTTCACCATTTAAGACAGTGGAAAAAATGTACTTACACTAAAAATAAAGAATTTGAAATGTATCTACTTATTTCCTGTTTTGAATGGAAATTTCATATAAAATTCTTAAAAATTGAACATTTCAGGTTTTGCTGAAAAATGGCCAGTTAATTTAAAATTATCCATTTCAGTTAATTCCGTGGATTACATGTATCTAATAACCAGATTTGTTACTGTGTTAAGTATGTATATGCTACAAAATTTGTTTTAAAAAATGGGGCAAAGAGCTTAAGGAATATTAATTTAAAAAAAAATAAGAGTCAAACCAGCTCAGGAACTGGAGTAATAGTGCAACTAGAGTAATACATCTGGGAATGATTGATTAATCTTTTCCAGCCAGCGAGTCTTCAAAACCTTTTAGAAGCAACACTGATTTATTGGAAAGGGATGGCACGAAGATGTTTTGCCACTCATACTTCACCTCCTGTTAGACATTTTCAGCTCTAAATGTGAGCCACAGAAGTGTCCAACATTGATGCAAGAACGTAGGTTAAAGGAGTGAAGGATAGTCTGGTGTAAGAGGGAAGAGTAGAAACCTGTATCAGCCAGGTTTTTTTATTCCCTTTTGTTGTTCAAGATGGCCACCAATACATGGCCTTCTTTATAGCATTAAGTACAACAAACTTTAATACGAAGATATTAAAATAAGATTTTACTGCACATTATGGGATGAAAAATGCTTTTATGTAACTGATCAATAAGAAAATGTATATTAAAATATAATCTAACCTCATTACTTGGACTGTTTGCTGGTCAAACTGCCTATTTTGTTATATAACTGCTATGTATTGCAGTGCTCATTCACAAAATTTCCATTTTATTGGATTTTAATTTTCTAAATTAGACATTACAGACTGGTAAAAACCACTTTCAGAATTTCTTTACATTTACCAATTTCTTCAATTGAAATTGTAGCTTTTAAAATTTTAAACACTGCATTATTACTAAGGCATTTCAAGATAACAGTAGTAAGATTACTCAGCACAGTGTTGAAAGTTTCAGCAATGGCCATATTAGTCCCACCTCAGTAGACAATACTGTATATTAAGTTTCCAGCATGAAACAATCTTATTTTAATTGCATAAATATGGTTAAGTTTAATGTAATAAAGTGACATTGTGGCTTGAGTTTCCCTTTCTCACATATAGTCCCAAAAATTTCACTCATGGTAGTGAGAGGGCTGTAAATTCAGAAACTATGTAATGTTATAAACGGCTATAAGGTTGCATTTTTTGCTTATAATAAAAAGTGTAAATACTATTTCTGTGTGCATTATCAAAGGGAAAAGATGTTTAAGTCAAAGAAAAATAACTTTAAAACAAAGTGTGGACTCTAACGGGGTAGCAGCAATATATTTTTCTAAATGTGTCCACTGAATTAGGATTAAAGTGCTTTATATCATGTAAATTTCCCCCACTCACATAGACAAATATGAAGTTTCACTTGTCCCTGAAATGTGTTATTTCTAAAAATGCAAGAAACTCAGCAACCAAACAAATGCCTTGTTCCCTACACCAGTGGTTCTCAAAGCTGGTCCGCTGCTTGTTCAGGGAAAGCCCCTGGCGGGCCGGGCTGTTTACCTGCCGCATCCGCAGGTTTGGCCAATCGCGGCTCCCACTGGCTGCGGTTCACCGCTCCAGGCCAATGGGGGCTGTGGGAAGCGGCGGCCAGCACATCCCTCGGCCTGCGCCGCTTCCCGCAGCCCCCATTGGCCTGGAACAGCGAACCGCGGCCAGTGGGAGCCACGATCGGACAAACCTGCGGACGCGGCAGGTAAACAAACTGGCCGAGCCCGCCAGGGGCTTTCCCTGAACAAGTGGCGGACCAGCTTTGAGAACCACTGCCCTACACCATAACCTTATGCAGTTCTAATACTTAGGATCTTCATTCAGCAATATCTGGACGTGATGTTCCCATTCCATCTACTGTAATACACATAGGCCAATGGGGTCAGTTAACGGAGATGCAACCTTAACTCTACGACCACGGTATATTCAAGTTAAGTCAAATCTCCAATCTCCAAGATTTTTAACAACAGTTAAAAGGGAAAAAGTTAATGAGGCATTTATATAATTCATCAGTCACTGATATGACAAACCCTAAGAGCTGTGCATATCATGCCAATGCATGTTATTAGGGACTCTTACCCTGGATATTAGTAACATGATATATTCATAATAACTGAATGATTAAAATCTAGATCCTCAATATGTTTCCATTTGGAAAATATTAATTTCATCTATGTACTAAACTGCATGTGCACAGTAAGTGTTTTAGATATTTAGGAAATCTGAGGACATCAGGGGTAGCTGCTTCTTAAACCCCAATCTCTGCTTCAGTTTTTAATACCCAAAGGCACTACAGTCCAGATTACAAAAATATTAAATTATGTTTTAAGTCAACACATTTTTAGCTATATGGCACAAAGTGCCTGAAATGGTTCCACTTCTCTTTCCCTTTAAAAAAAAAAAAAAAAAAGTAAATATAATTTGCTTTTTAAAAAGTTACTGGCAGGATGGTACATTATACGCCCAGCTTCAGTTCAGTATGAGTGTTTAAGGTTTAGCTATAACAGAAATGTTGATAGGCTTTTACTCTTAAATATAATCATATTAGCAAGTGCTATTATGTTAACAGTAACATTGCTGTGACCCTTAAATCATCATACAATATACTTATTAGGGCCATGTAATTGAACATAGCTTTACAGCTTTATGGCGCTCAAATTACCATCTTCAAAAATATGCTGCCAGATTTCATTCAAATGCACATGCCAGGAATCAGAATTTACTGGTCTGAAGTTAGTGACGCCAATGGACTCATCAAGAACTTTGAATACACGTAGATTACTTTCCTCTGCCATCCTAAATAGAATCTCCTGGGCCATAAGCTTCTGCAGTTTCTGTTTTAGTAGCATTTTGTCATGACATACAGCATACCTCCAACAGAATACAGGAGTGCCTTTTTCAGAGATGTATATATAGGCTACATCTACAACTGGAGCTAGAGGTGTGATTCCCAACTCATGTGGACACACTCGTGTTCGCTCAAAAAATAGTAATGTTGCCACAGTGGCAAGGGCAGCAGTGAGCAGCAGCAAAGGCTATCCATCCTGCCTATGTCTCTCAGGGTCCAGGAGCGTTTGTACTCTGCATACCTAGCCTGTGCCACTGTCCAATGCAGCCCATGCTACCACGGCTATACTACTATTTTTAGAGCACTAACTCAATGAGAGCTAGTACAAGTACGTCTATGCAAGCTAGGAATCACACCTCCTAGCTCCAAGTGCAGAGAGCCTAAATATCCAATGGCACTTCAAGGTTTAATAAAAAAACCTACATGTGTTAAGAGTTTAGTTGTTTGGGGGATTGCTTAGAAACAAAGCTACTTATTTTTTTTTAAATGATCCACCTTCTACTCTGCTTTCCAGGTACTTGTCCAACTCTGCCTCTCTCTTCACCGCCTCTGGCAATACCTTTGGTGCATTTGGAAAACAGATCAAAATCACACTCATGTTGTCTCGACTTCCCTGTTCGGGAGAAAAAAAACAAAACAGTTGAGACAATATCCTGTATCCAATGAATAATAGACACTCTGATTTTATTCCACGTCCATATCAAAGCAGTTCATAATTATTTAAAATAATTAAAATAAAAATTAAATTAAATTTAAAATATTTTGCTAATCATGTGAAATTAGAACACTTTCTTCCACCATACCATTAAATAAAAAATTGTAGCATTTGCAAATAACACTGTTCAACAAGTCTGCATGTTGAGTATCATTCAGTACAAACAAGCTTTTAAATATACTTTGTTAACTTTTTCCTTCCTGATTGATGTTTACAATGAGCCTATAGTTGATGACTCCCGTCTTGCTGAATGCTGAAATTATTTGCAAATCTAACAACATGGGAGATTTATTATTGAGATTTATAAAACCTGTTTCCATCCTGCTTAAATGTTAATATTGTTTGGAGGGAAAGGTTACATTAGTTGTAGGTATATTAAATGCTTAAATAGGAACATTTAAGATATCTGAAGCCAGTTATAAAGAAAAATCAAAAAAACCCAACTTAGACAACTAAAAATATTGCTAGTGTCAAATGCGCATTTCCATAAATGACAGTTCCCTACAGTAGGACTAAGGGCCAATCATTAAGAGGAAGTAGTGTAAGTGACATTTCTCATGTGCGAATGAAAAATGTGTTTATTTCTCACTATGTAAACTTTTAGAATACAAGTGAGCAAAATAAGCACAACTTTAATAAAATACTTGACGGCAGTACTGTACAACCACGCCTTGCAGAAAAAAGTACTAAATATTGATTCAAATGATTTTCCAACTGTTAAGGGCCCTATTCTGCAAACACTTACATAGATGCTGAACTTTAATCACAAGTAGTCCTACTGAAGCCAATGAGGTTACTCATGTGAATAATGGTAAGCACGGATGCAAGTATTTGCAAGATTGGTGCTTAAACCATGAAGCTATTGAAAAGCAGTATTGTCCTGTGGTATTTACATTTTGCAGACTAGCGCAGCCGAAATTATAAATGAAAAATTGGCAGTGAATGAAGTTCAACTTTTTAAAATGATAGAAATCTATTTATGCAATGTTGTTGTAGCTACGTTTGTCCCAGGATATTGGAGAGACAAGGTGGGTGAGGTAATATCTTTTATTGGACCAACTTCTGTTGGTGAGAGATACCGCAGTTCTGTGGAGCTCTTCTTTCGGTATCTCTCACCAACAAAAATTGGTCCAATAAAAGATATTACCTCACCCACTTGTCTCTAGAAAACTATTACATAGTTAACGGGGTCATTGTTTCACACCTCTTTAGAGAAATGGTGCCAATACTAATGATGCTATCTTGCCTTTATTTACAGCTTACATATCAAAGCTCAGTTTTATAAATAGAATTAAATGCTTGTCTAGGGAAAGTTAAAACAAACACTGAAATTTTAACAATGTTCAGTCTGTCCTATTGAACAACAGAACAACCTTTCATTTTGTTTATAGAAACATACAAATTCGGACTCATTGCATATAAAAACAATCACAAAATCTGTATTCGTTATGTAAAAATTGTGCCGGTCTTCTTGAGCAGATATAATTAGTTGGACTTCTGGACATCAAAAAGCTATACAAAATAATTTGTAAGTAATTGTATAATAAAAGATTTTTTTATGCAGAAGTAAAATTATATAAGGAACAATTTAAAAAAATCAGATCAAAGATTTCAGTAGTTAATTGAAGTTCTTAATTTTAGAAATCAAAATTCAGTCATTTTGCAACGGTTTTGGTATGATTCAGCCAGAAATGCTACATTTCCCAATGACAGAAGAGGAAAAAATAAAATTGTTTGTGCCCTTTATTTACTTTTTTGTAAGGTATAAAAACTACTTATACATTTTTTCCATTTCCTTTCTTTAATCTTAGAAATAGATCATTTCTCCTCAGCTACTAAATTTTCCACTCATACCAATACCACCAGTTCTCAAATAATTCAGTCTGTATGCGAAACGTGATAAGACCTGATATTTCTATCAAATGTTTTAAAACCCATTTTTACTACATTGTGAAACAGCAAAAAGGGCACTGTTTTATTTCCCTTGGTCATTGTTTAAAAGTGCTGATTTGCAATAGAGCACAACGTATTTTTACATGATTTAAACTCCTGACCAAATAAGGAGACCCATTATTGAAGCCCAGGTGCCCTTACTATTTGCTGTTCCTAGTTATATCCCCAATGGTATTCTAGTAAGTGGCTCAACGGTAGAATGATTGCATCATATAGTTATTTTTACAAAATTGTACAGAAACTAAACTTCAGCTACTCTATAGATCTGAACTGAAATTTATTTTCATCTTGTTGATAACAGGAAAACTCCTACTACTGTACTGAAAACATAATAGGTTTCTCCTCTTAAAATTCTGGCTACCTTGTACAAGCAGGTGTCGACTATCTCATTGCAAACTTTCTCAAGGTCATCAGTGACTTCGAGTCTGGATCTTACAAAGTCACAGAGCTCTTCATTTCCCATAACATCCCAGATACCATCACAAGCCAGTATGATAAACTGATCATCTTCTTCTGATCTCTCAATTTCATAAACTTCAGGCTCAGGTGAGACAAGTTGCTCTGTAGGGCCTTTCCCATGGACACATTTGTAATCGAAGTCCCCAAGAGCTCTAGACACAGCAAGAGAGCCATTCACACGTTGAATCATTACAGAACCACCTGCATTCTGTATACGCTCTTTCTCCAGTGGATTACTTGGTTTGTGATCTTGTGTGAAGAAGTGAACCTTCCTGTTTCTACAAAGTAAACCTCTTGAGTCTCCACAGTTGATGAAGTAAGTGTGTTGAGGAGAAATCATGACACCCACCGCTGTTGACCCGCTTCTATCTGCACCATGTTTCTTCTCAGAGATTACTCTCATATGTTCATCAATTTGCAGAAAACCTGTTCTGATTCCACTCTTTACACTTTCCACAGAGGGTGGTCCATCGGACCCTTTAAAATCCTGGTTGCTTGTGATGTGATCTAATAAATGCTCACAGCAGTATTTGGCAACCTGGGATCCAGCATGCCCATCATATACCGCAAAAAATGACCATCCATCAAGTCCATTTGGCAAACCAATAACAGCTGTATGTGCATCCTCCATCTCAACTCGCCAACCTTGCATACTACTTAGCCCATAACGTAGCCCATTACCCTGCCCTTGGGCATTATGCTTCTCCATCTTTGGCTTGTCTAAAAATGCTCCCATGATGACTTGTTCCTTCAGTTCTAAGGAAAAAAGAATATTATTGTTAAGCTATTTCTACAAAACAAGTAACCATTTAAACATGTTACTAGAAACTATTAAATATAGAAAATGTTACTTAAATAATATTAAGGTAGGACACAAATGAAGATGGGAAATTAAAATTGATGGCTGACTTTTGGTACTTAACTCAATATTTTACATAATAATGAGTTAACTAAAACGTCAGCCTTAACTCTGAACTGCCTTGTTTTGCTTTTGTTGTTGATTTAAGTAAGGACCTCACTACTAATTGAGTGTACTCTGTATGTTTTTGTAAATATTTAAGCTGTAACCATGCATGAAGAAGGGTTTACACTAGTTTCGGGTCTGTGGTTTTCATCAAAACACTTGTAGTGAAAATAAGTATAACAAAAACCACCATTCAAACTATTTTAACTAGCATAGACATCTTAGACTTTTGGTTAGTTTTTACAGCAACTAACTTCTCAGATGTCTATTTTATGGCCCAGTTGTGTTTAAAACTTCAAACTTTCTGTGTGCTTATACTTCAAGGAGGAAAACTACCTTTAACGTGTTTGCAGAAATCTGATTGGAAATAAAATTACAAGTATTAGAAATTCACATTTCATATATGCAGCAAGCAAATTTTATTTTAATATTTTCTTTATTCACTCTTATGTGGGCGCAGAGAACCAAGCATATATTTGTGCCCAAAAACCCCTATTATGCTTTTAAATAGTGTAAATCGACTGGTCTATCTTGACTGCTCTGTACTCTCACACCCTAACCATTCATTTTGCCCTTTTAATCCCTACCAGTTTAACTACGTAGTCATTAAATCACCCAAATCAGCTCAAATTTTACATTCTCAGAAGTTTTGCACCATTTGGAGTGTGCAACCTGTCGTGATGCAACACAAGATAAAGAAAAGCTGGAAAAGTCCTATTCCACCTGATGATTAATAGGCCAAGCATAAAATTGACTTCAGTGTGCCCTGCAAACAAGGCAGCTATGCTGACAGAACATTTCACTTATATGTGTTATTTTTCAAGGGGTAAACATGCATATAAAGGAACTGATCCACACTGTCTTAAGGATGACAGCAACACTTTATTCCAGCAGAACATTAAATATCTCTAAGGAACAAATTAATCCTGGTAGCTTTCCAGATAATTTCTATCCCCACCCCCACTCTACTCCTTTGGAAGCGAAATGTGCATACTCTAGCGCACACAGCCCAAGAGGAAAAAGGGATAAACAGTTAAGTGGCAAATTTTGCAGATGATACAAAATTGCTCAAGATAAGTCCAAAACAAACTGTGAAGAGTTACAAAGGGATCTCACAAAACTGGGTGTCTGGGCAACAAAATAGGAGATGAAATTCAATGTTGATAAATGCAAAGTAATGCACATAATCCAAACTATACATACAAAATAGAAATGGGATCTAAATTAGCTGTTATCACTCAAGAAAGATCTTGAAGTTATTGTGGGTAGTTCTCTGAAAATGTCCACTCAATGTGCAATAGCAGTCAAAAAAAGCTAACAATGCTAGGAACCGCTAGGAAAGGGATAGATAACATGACAGAAAATATCATAATGCTACTTTATAAATCCATGGTACACTCTGAATACTCAAAAAAATCTCAAAAAAGATATTAAAATGGGAAAAGGTACAGAAGGGCAGCAAAAATAATTAAGGGTATGTAACAGCTTCAATATCAGGAGAGATTAAAAAGACTGGGACTTTTCAGCTGGGAAAGGGACACCTAAGGGGGAAATATGATAAGAGGTCTATAAAATCATGAATGGTATGGAGAAAATGAATAAGGAAGTGTTATTTACTCCTTCACATGAACACAAGAACCAGGGGTCACCCAATGAAATTAATAGGCAGCAGGTTCAAAACAAACAGAAGAATGTACTTCTTCACATAATGCAATGTCGACCCGTGGAACTGATTTCCAGGGGATGTTGTGAGGGTCAAAAACATAACGAGGTTCAAAAAGAATTAGATAAATTCATGGAGGGTAGGTCCATCAATGCCCTGGGTGTCCTTAGCCTCCGACTGTCAGAAGCTGGGACTGGATGACAGTTACCTGTTCAAGTTCATTCCCTCTGAAGCACTTGGCATTGGCCATTGTTGGAAGACAGGATGCTTGGCTAGATGGACCATTGGTCTGACCCAGTATGGCCATTCTTATGTTCTTAGAGTATTTACATTTGATCTGAAAGTGACAGTATATTCAAATATATGTATATGCTGCCTATGAACAAAATTCTGTATATAGCCATATCTACATTACAGAATTAAGTTGACTTAAGTTACAATGACAATCATAAACCACTGTAATTACATTGCTTGTGCATATTCATACAACAATCCTTGTGTCAGCGCAGTGCATCCACGGTTGGTGCTCTAGCACTGTGGGTAGCGACCCCACTGTGAAAATCACCACCTTCTCCTGCTAGGAGTTTTGGGAAGGGATCGCAGTGCACCATGAGGGCAGGATCATTGCCCCATGATGCAGTTTTTTCTGTCCCATAATTCCCAGGGCTTCTGACTAGGTTTCATGTTTTTCAACTGCTCCCATAAACTTTGCACCTGCCATCTCTGCCTGAAAGCATGGATCCTGCACTGCTCACCAGTCTTGTGATGAACATTATGAATGCAACATGGCTGATCCTGCAGTATTTCATGAAGTGGCATGTTTTTGGCACCATACCAGAGCAATGGTTTGCCTCTCTTGCCTTCTGGTACACCTGCCTCAGCTCCTTGATCTTCGCACGGCACTGACACGTATCCCTTTCATGCCCCTTCTCATCCACACCACGAGCAATCTGCTCATAGGTGTCAAAGCTCCTACAGCTGGATCAGAGCTGTGACTGCACAGCCTCCTCTCCCCACAGACCCAACAGATCCACCAACTCCAGTGCACTTCATGCGGGACTGCGTTTGATGCAGAAAGCAAGCATTGTCAGCTAGGAAGATGCAAGGTGAGCTGTCCACACTGAACAAACAGGAAGTGGAAATTCCTGGGGCTTCAAGGGGTGTATGCTGTGTACCTGCAGCAGAGTAGAAACTGCTTACCAGTAGTCACGATGGGCATCGTGGGACACATCCTGGAGGCTACTTAGGGCAACATAAGCAAGCGCACAGTCTATATTGACACTGTGTTGCTCTAACTTTGTTGCAAAAAGCTCTATGCCGCTTGTTGAGGTGGTTTTATTATGTCGGCATAGCAGGAGAATTAAATCAGCAGCAGGAGCATTATTGAGTGTACACCTCCCCAGTTTTGTTGACAAAAACTGACTTTTGTCGACAAAACTGTGTAGTGTAGACAAGGCCTCTGGATATGCATTTGTAAAAATATACCGTACCTTTATTTGGAGCTACAGTGGCCAAAGTGCACGTTTGTTCTACATTATTTAATATAAGAAATATAGCTAAAATTATATTACCACAATATTCTGGATTTGAACAAATTAATTAAAAAAAATATTCCCGTAGCAACTGTAGCTAAGGCATGCACACTGTATATACTGTTATCTAAGTCTTAAAAGCATATACAACATATTACACATATGAAAAGGGTGATGCCACAATTACTAGAGTATACCATCTTAATGCATTTCTCTCTCCAGCTATATCATCCCACTGAAATCATATACTGACCTAAACCCCACTCATTTATACAGTCTTACAATAATTCAAAAATGGAATTATTTCCTAGAAAACTACAGCTCATTTATTCCACCATAACATTCCTTGAATGTTTTGGAATGAACTTCAATAGTATAAAAAGTATTAACAATGGAATTTAATCAATTCAATAATTTCAAGTTTTAATTCAGGACTTGAAAATGTGAGTATAAAATAAGAATTTGGCAGAGCAATTTCATGTTTTGTAAAGTATTTCTTACCCCTTGCTACTGTCTAAACCATTTGCACAAAAAGAGAAAGTGAATATACAGAGAATACAGTAAAGTGGCTATACACAAAGTGTATACACAAAGTGCTTGTCAATGCAAACTACACACACTAGATTTTTTCCTCTAATCTTTAAATTACAAGGGTTTTAGGAGTTAACTTTTAACAGAAATAGAAACAAAATATTCAGACAGAGGTGTGCTTTTTAAGTTAGTGTTTCCCTTTTCATTAAGTTTTTTTGTATACATTTTTGAAAGGATAATGTCTTTGACTGCGAGACCTTTTATTAAGACAGACTGACCATATACAACTTTAGCAATCCTCAATGGAAAACTGTTCAGTTAATTTTTGGAGTAATCTATCTACCCCCACTCCAGTCAAGTTAGTTTCATCACCAATATGAGGGTAGGTCAAAGCTCTTGCTATCTTGTCTAGACTAGAATTTAAAGGTGAGATGTTTGCATGTGTTAATTAATATATTTTTAAAATCTAATGTAGCAGTGAATATAATCAGACTGGAGGATAAGCACAATGTGGTTGTGGAACTCATCCTAGGAAATTTAGTTATTCAGAGCCTACAACAGGGGTGGGCAAACTACAGCCTGCGGGACCGTCCTGCCCGGCCCCTGAGCTCCTGGCCCGGGAGGCTCACCTCCCCCCCACCTACAGCCTCAGCTCGACCGCTCTGCCACCAGCGCAATGCTCTGGGCGGCGGGGCTGTGAGCTCCTGGTACAGCACAGCTGCAGAGCCTGACCTGACCCCATCTCTGAGCTGTGTGGTGGCGGCAGCGGTGTGGCATGGCTCCAGCCGGGCGGCACGGCTGAGGCGCCACCAGTGCTCCAGGCAGCGCGGTAAGGGGGCACGGAGCGGGGGGGTTGGATAGAGGGCAGGGGAGTTTGGGGTGGTGGTCAGGGGTGTGGATAGGGGTCGGGGGGGAATAGGGGGTTGAATGGGGGCAGGGGCCCCAGGGGGGCAGTCAGGAAGGAGGGTGGGTTGGATGTGGTAGCAGGGGGCAGTCAGGTGACAGGGAGAAGGGGTGGTTGGATGGGGCAGGGGTCCAGGCGGGGCTGTCACAAATGAGAGGAGAT